TTAATATAGGTATGACAGATAGTCCAATGCATATACTATAGAAAATAATTTTACTAACCATTATTAATATAGGTATGATAGATAGTCCCATGCATATACTATAGAAATTAATTTTACTAACAATTATCCAATAGGTATGATAGATAGTCCAATGCAGATACTATAGAAAATAATTTTACTAACCATTATTAATATAGGTATGATAGATAGTCCAATGCATATACTATAGAAAATATTTTTACTAACAATTATCCAATAGGTATGATAGATAGTCCCATGCATATACTATAAAAAATATTTTTACTAACAATTATCCAATAGGTATGATAGATAGTACAATGCATATACTATAGAAAATAATTTTACTAACCATTATCCACAATAGGTATGATAGATAGTCCCATGCATATACTATAAAAAATATTTTTACTAACAATTATCCAATAGGTATGATAGATAGTACAATGCATATACTATAGAAAATAATTTTACTAACCATTATCCAATAGGTATGATAGATAGCCCAATGCACATACTAGAGAAAATAATTTTACGAACCATTATCCAATATGTATGATAGATAGTCCAATGCAGATACTATAGAAAATAATTTTACTAACCATTATCCAATAGGTATGATAGATAGTCCAATGCATATCCTATAGAAAATAATTTTACTAACCATTACGCAATGTATACGTCAGATCGAGGAGATGGGATAATCAAGAACGACTCCTAAATCTTAGCATCTATTAACCAGTTTGTCTAAGGCATTCTATCCGAACTTGCCAAAGGTTTCCTTTTTGAATAATATTCGACGAAATAAAGTTGAATTGGAAACATTACGTAAGACTACAACGAATTGATAAATAGAAAGCAATTACAAGCTGTAATGTAAAATATCACTGATTATGTGCAAAGGGTTACAGTTTGGAGATTTCAGGAAGAGACAAACAATTTAATCGTATTGAGTGACAGAATAATAATAATAATAATAATAATAATAATAATAATAATAATAATAATAATAATAATAATAATAATAATAATAATAATAATAATAATGTTACAAGCCAGGGGTCTTTGCTTGACTGAGTGGTGTCAAAACCCTAGAGCGAATCCCGCTAGAAGTCATAAGTTTACCCCAAATTTCCAAAGACTTCTATTCAATTTTAGTTGTAAGTTTGAAAGCCTGACGTTTCCATTCTATACATAAATTTTACTCTAATCAATATAAGACCACATTATTCACAACATGCCAAATATCCATCAACCGCACATCCGCATAGTTTCTACATCAACTTTCCGTATCGTTAGCAGTTAACACCGTAAAAACTCTACAACTATCCCTAACACTGGGGACAGTTTTAACTACGCCACCTGAGGCAAGTCAATCTACCGTTTCAATGAACATCACTCCAGTAAAACTACGTCACATTTGCCACCATGGCGATATAAAAGGTCCCTTCTCATTTGGTTCATTGTGTAATTTACTGGTTTCCTACCGTAAATACTGCCACTGCAGTCACAACACCAATGTACACCACCAGATTTTATAAAGTACTACATCACTCAGGGACAGTCATGCGGATTGGGTCTGAATTCGCTACTCATTGACCATGGCATCTTGGATACTCACTAACACTTTTTCTCCGTGACATTTGCTCCTAATAATTGGCTAATTATTTCGGGCTAAGGAATATTTCACATTGACCGAATTCCAATAATCAAACAAGTAGTTACACAAACCTAAGAATTGCTTAAAGGGGGGCGCTACAACTAAATGCGCAGCTCCTTAATTGTATTACAATAATAATAATAATAATAATAATAATAATAATAATAATAATAATAATAATAATAATAATAATGATGATGATGATGATGATGATGATGATGATGATGATGATGATGATGATGATGATGATGATGATGATGATAATGAGTACTTTGTATAGCGCTTAATCTTTAGGAGCTCTAAGCGCTATACAACAATTGACAATACTTTTTTAAAAAAACACATATAATGATATGATTACAAAAATAAAAACAAACACCACGAAATTAGATAACAGAGAACATGATGTAAATACTATAGGTAAGGAAACATTCTTAGGTCTTTAAGTGTGTTCTTGCAGTTGAAATAGGTGAGTTTTAAGAGCACTCTTGAATGAGATCACTGTGTCTTTGTGACTAAGTTCAGTGGGTAATTCGTTTCATGTTGCTGGGTCCTGGTATGCAAGAAAACGTTATCCATATGAATTCGTTTTCAGTGGGATTAACGAGTGTCAGAAGAGGAGCGTAAGTATCTTGTTGGTGTGTACACATGGTTGAGGTCGGATAGGTATGTTGGACTGGAGCCCATCAGTGAAACGTAGCACATAGAACAAATTTTGTGTTTCTTTCTGGATCGAATTGATAGCAGTGTAGGGTACAGAGCATGATGATCCGAGCAGCTGTGTTTTGAACTTTTTGAAGTTTCTGAAGTAGATATTGAGACGAACCAGAGAGAATTTAGTTACAATAGTCGAGCCTAGTTCAGAATTTGAAGGTAATACACAAGTTAGAAATATATAGACTAGAAGACATAGGTTATCTGTATTTTTACACAGTTATAACATGACAGAACTTCCAAAGCAGTGCCGTCTTAAGGCATGGGCACACTGGGCAATTACCCAGGACCTCACGTTTCATGCTGCCCATATTGTCAATGAATCTTAGAGCTGGTAGGGGGCCCCAGTGCATTGCTTTGCACAGAGCCTACAATTTTGTTAAGACACCACTGTTCCGAAGGAAACTATCTTGGAATGGTCACTAAATAAGGTTAGATATATTTACACTCAAGGTCAAGTTCAGTGTTTGCATTGTGTGCAGTTTATTTCTGCCTCCTCAATGTACAGTTGTATCATCCTCTCTAGCATCTATTTCTGAAATCAATTTATCTAAACTTTGTAAATTTGTGGTATCTTTGATTTAATTCAGAGTAACGATTCGATCTCTATGACCTTTTGTAATTTGAATGTAGATTTCCCCATCAAAGGTCCAGCATAATTCACTTTGTTGGCCTTCTTCAGTTTTCTACGTATTTTCCACAGGTTGAAACGGTATTTGGTCATATCCTTTCCAAATTAGTCAGATTCACCCTTCTGAGCTTACCTTAAATCTCGTAATGTACGAATGGAACCTTTCTTATCTACTTTGCCAATAATGGAAACACGGTCAGTGTATTCGGACCCAAAGTTAACATTTATCGAACTTTAACACCACCGTCTTGAATAACATTAAAGTTTATTACATGTAAGTGTTAGACTATCAATATCCTCCTGAATGTCTGCAATTTTAGTTGTGTTTTATCGAGCCCTGTCTTGAGGGGCTGGTTAGTAGTACAGTGACACTCATAGACCGGTGATAATTCACTTTTCCCATAGATTCGTGAACAACTTGTTCCAACAGTGGTCGCCTCACCTGCACTTAAGCACGAGTGAACTGTTAAACTTAGAGAACTGTTATTTCAACCTACTTTCGATAGTTCCTAATAATGGATCTGTTCAAACGCTGGTAAAGTTAATCAAAATAATTCTTCTGCTTTCAAGAAACCGAGAACCAAGTAAATGGACTATATCTTACGTATAATAAGATATCCAAGGTTTAAAGAATTTTGACATTGACCATTCTTTGAGATTTTATCTCTAAGGATATTTTCTAACCACGAAAAAATTTCGTAGAGAGGAATTGGCGCAATAAGGTATGGAGAGGCCAATTATGGGGATGGGCATAAAATGCTGGTGGAATGTTGATTGATTCTATCAGTATTTTGTGCTAAGCGAACTCCTGCTTTTGATTTCAACATATCTTGCAGAGTTTATAGTAGGATCTGTTCCAATAGTTCGTAAATTTGAAACAAACAAAAAAACAACCACAAGTAAAGATTCGTCAAGCCGATTTCGAGAAAGCGGGTGATTTCAATATACGGTAGATATAACAAACCCCGCAAGGAGATTACCTTTTCATTCACATGTAGGCCCTACAGTTCACCCTTGAGTCGATTTCGACATGGATCGTTCTTTGACAGTTTGTACGTTGGTATAAATTTGACTCCCGAAAGAAGTATTGACAATGTTCGTAGAGAGCAATATGACGGTATATATTGATACCGACAGTAATAAGCCGTTATAGTCTTTGGACAGATTGTAACCAAACTTTTCTATGCGTGGACCTTTACTCAGAGAAATTTGATTTAGAGTTCAACACATGTTTGACAATTACTAGTTAGTTATCTGTTCTAGAAGAAGCAAAAGTTGAGAAAAAGCTTGTTAAGTCGACTTCAAAAAAATGGGGATAAATATATAGGGACGGGTAATTCTCAAATATACATTATTATCAACCCCAACATCCCCAGTAATTTGACATTGACTCTTCCTTTAAATTTTATCTTCATGATATTTGCAACCTAGGAAAGAAGTTTGATTGACGTATTTCGTAGAGAGGATTAAGCGAAATAAGGGGCCACACATGGGTACTGGCCATTAAAGTTAGAATGTTGATGGATCAATATTTTGTACTAAATGAACTCCTACTTCGAGGACTTTTATTTCAACGCTTCTTGGACAGTTCCATGTTAGTTAACTGTTCCAAAACTGGGAAAATTTGGGAAAGAGAATCTTCAAGCCATTTCGAAAATAGATCACAATACACGGCATGAAACAAAGCCCACGAGATTACCTCTTCAGTCCAAATGTGGAGCCCACAATGCACTCCCAACAGTGTGTGATCTTGATTTTTAACGTAGCTATAACAAAAAATTCAGTCATATGGCCACGATGTCTGCAGTGTAGCAATTGATAGTGGTGTCTAACACTGAGACAATATGTCCCATCCATGTAGAATCGCTCCACCCGGTAACATTATCTGGACACCAGGTGACCAATCCCAATACTAACTTCTCAATGCTGAGCGCCAAGCGAGGCAGCTGCTAATACCATTTTTTAATAAGTCTTTGTTGTAACTCGGCCTGGATTCGAACCAGCGGTCTTCCGCATCCGAGGCAGATGCTCGAACCAGTTAGGCTACCGAAACAGTCTGGTTCTAAATGAACCTCTATTTTGATGGTTTTGATCTGAACGCCTCTTTGAGGGTTTCTATTTCGAGATATGTTCCAACAGTAAAAAAAACGTTTGAAGGAACTCGTCCAGCTGAGTTCGAAAAATAATGAGTTCAATATATGGTAGGAATTGCGAAGTTTGGATATAATCTGTCAACACAATATAGCAATTTAATATCTCCGATATCGATAAAGACTCCAATTTCTTTTAATCGCCTTCTCGAACATCCTCAATGCTTCTTTGAAGATCTAATATATCTATGAATGCAAAATATCAAAGAAATATCCCTGTCAAAGTATGAACTGGAAGTGCACTGTAGGATCCACTATAGACTTGTGGGGCAATTTCCTTGTGGACTTTGTTGTTCTCAAAATCGGCTATACAAATATTATCGTGATATTTTCCGACTGTAGGAGCAAATAACGAATTGGTAATCGCCCAAGTCTAGCTGAAATGAAAATTCTCTAAATAGGTGAACAGACAGTACAAAATGTTGATAGAAATGATCGACATTTCAGATGTTTTTCTTTCCAGGTACACTGAATCAGCACAACAAAATTAGACAAGGCTTCTTTTATTTGTGGTCGGGAAATATCAGAAGAGGTACAATTTTGAGAAAGGTACAAATATACTGCGGGGATGTTTGGGTCTATTTATATAGTTTATAAATCATCCCATTAAGGCATATATTATACCTACCTCATACCTGTCCCCACCTCCTTACATTTTTAGCCACCGTATCTCTCAATATTGTCCCGACCAATTTTCTTTTACCTTTCAATACGTTTGAAACAGATTACTATCCAGGAAGAATCAATCTGGAATTAAGAACACAATTGTCTAATTAGGTCTTGCACATAGCAAAAATTTATATAATATATCTGTATCGGTGTCAAATCACTTTCTACTATTGTTTAAAGTATTACAAGCCAGGGGAGATGATCAATGTAGTCTTATTATTTGTCAAAATTTGATTTACCTTTCTTGACATGCAGACTTGACCAGAAAGGTCGAGACTTGTTCCTTTCTCATATTTTTTGAAAGACCATATAATTTGTTACTATTATTACTAATACAAACTGTATTTTTCAAACAAGAATGGATACCAAACCAGAGACAAACAAAGGATGAAATCACTTCAAGCTAACATGATATATCGACGTAATTAACTTTTAAATTAAATAAAGGCAACCAATATTTTGTAATGTAGCTTGCTACCTTCCATCCGATTATATACGGCAGAATACTACAAAATGATGTCTCAACACAATTGGATCTTCTTCTAAAAAAATATCTTTACAAAAATATATCCAATATAAACCATATGTACCACACATGTCCAAATGTAAACAATGTGTCATTAGTTCTGCATCTGTTATTTGTTCTACCAATTACTCCAAACTTCATAGACCCAGATTTGCCAGGGTAATATGCAACAGCAGATCTCGATCGGTATGGTTTTCAGTTGGACTGGACTTATAATCATATATATATGGTATAAATGTAAATCACATTACTGAATATTTAATTGATACAAACATCTAACTTGCAATAACTTGAACACAAGTGGTCTAAAGCGAGTGGCCGAGTGGTCTAAAGCGCTGTCCGTTACGGATCACTGCCATCTCACCTCTGTTTGCGTGTGTTCGAGTCTAGGATTCGGCTAATGTAGATATGTGAGAAAGCTTGCCAGTAGCTTCTCGTGGGTCGGTGGTTCTTTCCGGTGATTTCCCGGTTTCTTCCTCCACCATAAATACTGGCCGCCATGAATAGCCTATCGTGTGCTGAAAAATGGCGTTAAGCCCAACAACAAACAAACAAACAAACTTGAACACAATATATTAAAACAGCTGATGCTGACACAGACAAAATTGTGTGTCGCATTAATATAAGGATTTTGAATGATAATACAAATAATTTCAAACTGACCAAGAGGGCCCCAAGTGGCCGAGTGGTCTAAAGCGCTGTCCGTTATGGATCACTGCCATCTCACCTCTATCTGCGTGGGTTCGAGTCTAAGATTCGGCAAATATGGATATGTGAGAAAGCTTGCCAGTAGCTTTTCGTGGGTCGGTGGTTCTTTCCGGTGATTTCCCGGTTTCTTCCTCCACCATTAATACTGGCCGCCATGTATAGCCTCTCGTGTGCTGAAAAAGGGCGTTAAACTCCACAACAACATCAAACTGACGAAAAAGAATGTATACTTCTTCCTACTGTACACTTGTGCAATAACTTGATACTAAAAATTGCAAAATTACACCATTGCAGTATCAAAGCTTAGACCGGGCTAAAAAAAAATTGCTTACATAAATAATGATTTATTGAAATTCCATTTTTCTAATATTTTCAAAACGCTAAATATGAATAAACAATATTTGAAAAATGCAACTTTCATATCCAAAAACAAGATATGAACCATTCTACAATACCCTAAAAAATAAATTAAAAAGAAACTTTCATCCACAGTTCAACAAATAATGAGAAACCGTTTCAAATTCTGCTGGCCTCTTTCAACAACTAGTTACACTAGAATATTTACCTATTAATCACCATGAAACCTTCTGTCAACAAGTTTCACTGTAACTGTCTGACCTGTGCATGGTTCGATGTATCCAGAATAAACTGGCAACCATCTTCCTAACATAATCATCAGTAGTAGAGGAAAACCAGGTTTTCAACTCACTTTGTTTTTTTTACCCTCCAAACAAGTATAAATTATAGTCCTAAATTATCCCCCACCCCACCACCTTTTTTTTCCAAAATAAAACAGGGTTTTGACTCACCCTCACCCACTTCTTTTTTTTTCCCCCTACTACTACCTGTAAACAGGTATTTTGTAACCAAACAAAACAACAGGTGTTGGAATGCGATAAGCTCTTTACACAGAGGTGACTAATTTGTTAGAACAGCGCATGTGTGGAATACAATTATTCTAAAGACGGCAAACGGGTTTTACCACAAGATAACCGGATGAAAATTAAACTGTGTGTTAGAACGTTTCAGTTAACAAGGTGGAAATTAAACTAGCATTAGAATGAAAATGATATTATTTTATATCTCGTTACCAATGATTAATGTTTCAACTGTTGATATTAAAAATATTTCACTATCACGACTATAGATACTAAATTTTACTTTACCACTCACACAGCGACGGGACTCAAATAGATCTTTCATTTCTGGTTTGTTCAGAGGATATTTTTTGTTGATAAAATATACCTTTGACCGATCGAGATCAATTGTGAGTTTAGTATAGTTTTGTTGGCTAATGGGGCTGTGAAAGTTTTTAAATTCCGCTAGCAACTTTTGATACAATTGTTCGAGATAATTGAAATACATGCTGTTATCAGATCTGATGAGCGAAAGTTTTAACTTGTCACATGTTCCATTAAAACATATACCTGATGTTTCATTATTAAATTCAACTGTCAATTGTTTACCATCCATCATTAGATATTTGATGTTACTATTGTAGCTATTTGTCATTGTCAAATTTTCAAACATTATTTTATAAGTTTAGATAAAATTTTAGTCACAATGAAAATACCCAAAGGCAAATGTATCTACCCCATTTTTACAATAGCGTTTGTCATCAAAATTGTACAATCCACGTTTGATAATGACATCTGTTTCGAGTTTATGATGATTAGTTCGAATTGCCATAGCTCTCATAAAACTAACACCACCATCAAGAGCGTACTTGTAGTCATCAAATTTCATAAACTTTTTAACAAAATTACGAGGCAGACCTTTAGCTTTTTTCGTTATTTTATTATTATCTAACAATACGGCATACATTTTACTACGTAATCCGATAAAGTATTTGATAGCGCTCGAGTTCATTTCATCTTTAAACTTACCAATAACCTTTTTATTTGTGTCGTCATGAAATTTACTGTCACGTGGATAATCGGAAAGATCAAACAGATGTCGATTATTGTACATGTCCTGATAGATGTCCTCACATTCAATTTCATACACGAGTGAATCAGTATCAGTAAACAATAATCTACTAGCCGGCCACTGATTTTTAACAAAAGTGTAATGAAAATCGTACATCATCCACTTTGATAAATCTAACACTGCAGCTCCAACATAGATCGGCTTGTTTAGTTTTAGATTTGTTTTTCTTCTTTGTATCGCAACAAGATTTTCATTAAATATTTTCATGCTCACAAAATCATCGTCTGACACAAGTTTGTTTCTGCGATTGACATCATTAACTATTTCAATATTTACACGTTTCCTAGTATTATCCATCGTCTTACCAAAAACGGAATTGTTCATCAGTTTAAAGAAGTTTTTCTCAAACTCTGTTTTCGCTGCAGCTATTCTTGAAGTGTTGGAGTTAATATAACCTCTCATCCACGGCGACTGATTAAATTTTAGTACACGATGAACTTTTCTCAACACAAGACCAGCATCGACTGCTTGTTTTAAAACTTTGTAATGCAAAACACAATTTTTCTTATCAAGTAAATTTGGTACTAGTTTCTTAACCATGGAATGTTGCCTTGGTGATGCTAACGCTTGTTGTTCTTTTGATAACAAACTATAATCTATAACCATCGATTCCGCACAGAAAGGGTAATCGTTATGTAATTTGTGTAGCGAATTTGGATAATCAAGATCAACTTCAACGAAATAGGAAACATCGTCAGGTATCTTTTTTTCTGTCTCTGATAGAAATCGATCAACCGTGATCCAATGAAATCCGCTAAAAGGCATTGGTTCTGCCATCGAACCACCGTAAAGATTATTACAATCTAGATAAATTATATACTTCGAAGGAAGGTTAGGGTTATACTGTTTCAGGTATTTGTTGTTTGCTTCAGCATATTTTTTTTGTTATCACGCTAATACCACCTCGGATACCTTTTTCGATAAAATTGAACATATCAACATCAGTCAGTAATTCTAACCTTACCTTACTAAACTTTAGCAAAGCATCCCATGACAACCCAGGGGCAGAAT